TGAGAACTTTAACAACATCCATCCACAGCGCCAACTAGCCTTCATCGAACTGAATCTAATCTTGTTGCTCAGGAGTCACTCTGCCAACGAAAAGCTATCCCCTTGGGCACGTCGAAGTCGAAGTCACTGTCATTCCTCTCGAAACCGCCAACCTGCCGGACGTGAAGCCCCCCTCTCAGGTTGCTCACTAACAACAAGTCACTGATAGAGACGATGCATACTGATGATAGATAATGCTTGTGGGTGAAACAAAATAGGCCCAGAAAACGTGTTCAAAATACGCACGAACTTTTGGGACACATAACACGTCAACATGTGCTTATAACAAATTCAGCGTAGGCGTTACTGAAATTATACTGCAGTGAATTTGCTAATTTCGAACAATGTGAAAAAAGCATCAGAAAGGAGATGGAAAAATCGCTCGCAGCCGCAGCTAAATCTGTTAAACGCGTTATGGACGCTCACGAAATATTATAATTGAAGATTTTTGTCACTTGTATTCGGGACATGGAGAATTACCCAAAGTCGCGTTCATACTTCACGACTTCGGAGATGAGATTTGGCGAAAACAGATACCTATGTATTGAGAGGTTGGGGTTGAGAAGTCAGGAGGTCAGTAGATTATGATAGTTGTAAGTTGAGTAAGTTCGCTAGAACAATTTGAATTGATAAAAGTCGCTGGAGAGTAGGAGATTTCGATATTAGGAGATGATAATGAGGAGTCCGGTCTACCAAATTTCGAGTGTGAATGCGGCGTTGGGCGTGGCTGCTTCATTGTGACTCTGTGGTGTTGTTAACTGCTGAGCTTTTTCCTCATTTCCACCCACCCACCTCTACCCTAGTCAGTGAGTGAACGTAAACTTAAGGGATTCTCCATGTTCAAGACAATTTGAGATTCATTAATCTATCGCCGACCGTGAATAATCCGAGGAGGGTCGCTTTCCTTGGTCTTAACAGCATTTTTTTACGTTCCCAAGGCCCAGACGTATTCATTGTAATTTTGTTGATTTATCGGTAGATTAGAAGTTATTGGTGAGAAAAAATATAAAGAAAAACGCGGAAATACGCGAAGAATGGTGATCCGAAGTGTGTTAAGTTACGAGCAGCCTTCAAGTGGGGTGGAAATGAGGAAACACAGTGAAAGACGATTCTGGAAGCGTGACAACGGGAGAGATTTCATGAGTTATGTGTTGTAGCCACTCTTTCCGTCAGTCGCTCACAACAAAATGAGAACAGCTGGGTGATCACGCGAAAAATTCGAATGGCTGAGAGATGGCTTTCGTGCTAGGGATTAGAAAAAAGATCGTGGGAGCCTAGTAGAAGAAGCATGGTCCATAGGACTTATTGAATGCCGAAGTTTTCACGAATAATTCAGCAGAGGTTCGAAAGATCAAGCCGGCAATCGTGCAGATGGCCAAATCGATTTGAGGCTGTGTGAGAGGGAGGGAGGTGTCAGCTTAGGCTTAGGCAGTGTGTGTCCCAAACATGCCATAGCAACGAGGTTGAACCCTCACGTGATGAAAAGAAATGATGGAATATCATGATTTGATTTTTCCGATCAGCTGTTGTGGATTTTGGTTTGAAAGAAGGCTTATGCTAGCACTCAGTTCTGTCTTACGTATGCTTAGGAAAATTGGCTTACTGGTTGGAAAGAAAGTCCTGCAACACTTCTGCGAATTTTTGATTTTAATTCTATCTTTTCTGGTTATTTTATCTTCCCTGACCGGTCTCAGAAAATTTCTTGATGCTCCTTTGCCAAAACCCAGCGGAGTGCGGGTCGAGAAAGGAGGCGACCTCACTTTCGAGTTGGAGTTGATCGTCTAATTATTTCGTCATCAAGTAATCAATATTATGATTTAAGGTCCAGGGTAGGTGGCATTCATCGATAGTGTCAGTCGTTGACACGAATCCATAGTTTTGTAGACATTTGTACTAGACAGTGACTCGGAGTATGGATTTACTAGTGGTCGAGGTTTTTTGAATTTTCTTGGATAACTACTGACTGCAGCACTTATATCCACCTCGTGGATTGAAGCCTCGAGAATGCTCTACCATTTGTTAGTCATAAATGTTACCTATGAATTTTTCAGAAAAAAAGAAAATTTTAGAAAGAGTGTTGCAGAACTTTCTTTCCAACCTAATAATAGAAGTAAGTACAGATTACTATTTGCAAACTGCGTGAATCATCATTAAAAAATTTAACTACTCCCCCCTCCCCTGAAGGGGTCCTTTGCAAGACCCCTTCCTCTAATCGATAGTGCCCATCAGTGCTTGAATCATCGTCATCTTGGCACACCCTTTGAACTCCGCCCCAAAACTCATAGACGCTTCGAAAGGAATTTGTGACTGTTGAATAAACAATAGGCATTTGCCGATTTCTTTTTCACTTTTCTCTAAAATCGCTTCCAAATTCCAGAAGTGTGCCTCTTCGCAAGTTGAAAATGCGCCCCTTCTCTTTAGATACGACCTTCTGCCTAGAACCACAAAAATAAACAAGATTATAAGTTTAGGAACATAGGATGTCTACGGTAACCCACATTAGCGCTAGGGCGCGACGCATTCCTACCGCAAGCGATGTTGTTAGGTTGTGAGCGAATACGAGCAACGACGCTACACCGGCAGCGCGCAGCGTTAGGCCGACGTCATACTTTACGAATCGGCTAGCGAATCGCTCGAATCGCAAAGTATGACGTCGGCCATAGGCTGGTATCAGAGTCCGCGATGTCGCAGGTTTCGATGGTTTTCGCGATTTGCGCGATTTCCGATCTGACACGAGCCTTCTGTGAGGCCAAACCGTCGTGCGTGCTTAATCCTCCCGGTTGCTTCCTTACAAATTGCGGTTTTAAGTATAGGTTGGCGGTTTTCTCGATATGCATACTCTCTTCGTTGAACAGAAACCGCAGAGAGAACATCTGAAAGCACCAATAGGAAATCGACTGAAATCACATGACATTGTGCGCTCGCCCAAGTGCCACGTCGAGGGTTTACGGTATACAGCCTATATTCCCTGAACATAACCCTTGTGCAAAATTGATATCCTTCCTCTTGAATCCCGTCTGATGTTCGAGATATATGGCTAGTAGAAAAAGATATCTTGGCAGAGCACGTCACTTATAACTCGCAAACGTTCTGAATTGTTGTTCATCTTATTCAAACCAAGTTTCCTACACTTCTGGAAAGCGGAATTTTTCTATGTAGAGCTGAATCTCTTAAACTAGAGCGAACTCAAAGGTGTGGCGCTTCTCAGAAGAGCTAGTCGCTGACCACGTCTAATTCCATTCTTTCCCGGAAATAGAGTGATTTTTTGAAGAACCCACCTTGTACAACATTTTGAAGTGTCCATTTTAGAGACAATTTTTCGACGACACCATGGACCGAGAACGATATCGTTATATACACACATGCCGGCAATCAGTAGTGCGAAACCGATCAGCTGAAATGAAACCACTTAATGGCCCGCAATTGAGTCTCGCTCCGCATCGTAGCTTTTGTCGGGTTCGCATACCTGTAATGGGATGAATTTCTGCCCGAAAAGTGGTATGCCAGCCGCCCAAATGACGATGATTCGGGCGCTGTCAACTACAGTTCTGGTGGTCGCTGACAGGTTTTTCGTGACCGTTGTTCCAGCAAAATTGAAGAAGGCTATACTGAAATTCTGAGATCTCTACGAACATTTTTAATTTGGTAATTTTTACACTTCTGATTTGTGATTTGCCGAAACAACCAAAGAAAGGAATTCATTGCTAAAGAAGAAATTCAATTTTCAGCCTTAACTTCGTAAACATATAACCATTTGAGTACAGTGGAACCTTGCAGCACACTTCTACACCTGTTAGGAGCAGAAAGCTTGTGAGGCTCCCTTCACTTTTGTTCAAAACGTCCATGAAAGAAACTATGGTCGCGAACGCAACGAAGGAGACGGATCCTCAAGGATCCATTTTTGGCGTACTGAATGTATCAATCAGCTTCAGTGGTCGTTTGTAGAGCAAATCTTCTAGTTTGCAACGCCATATAAACTTTTCTAAATCAGTGCATTTGGAGGAAGTTTGTGGTTTTTAAAAGTGTGAAAACTCGCGCATCTTAAAAATTTCCCTCGCTATTTTTGCAAAAATCATCAACGGAGCCATGTTCAGGACACCGAACGAAGCAAGTCACTTCAATGATCGTTCGTAGTTATTTTGCATTATTGCAAGATTATTGCATTTGAACTATGACTTCCCATTGTGTAAGGTTCGCGCTTCCTATTTCGTTATCGTACTGGTGATTCTTGGTTAAAGGCAAACCCCGGGATTGGCCCGACTAGTAGGAGGGATACCACTAGGGAAATTGCAAGGTCTGTAATTACCTAGATCACTCCAGCTTCGTCGCGAAAATTGCGCGGTTAAGTTGGTTGCCAACCCGCAATTATTCTAAATTTTTCTAAGTTGGTCAGTTGTTAAGGCTTTTTCGTTTTTCCAATGTATTGTATTGGTCACATCTAGATCGATTGTTGATGTAAAATTAGCATGTTGTATTTGTAGACCTGAGAAGGGCTTAAGGCCCGAAACGTCGTCACATAAAGATTTTGAAGAGTTTCATATCAAGAGCAATTTGAGGACCCGGAGTATGCTTTTAATATGAATCAGAAAGAATAAATTGAATAGAGAATGAACACATTGAAATTTTGCGCTCGGATTGCTTTAAGAACGAACCAATAATTCAGGGATGGTAGTAAGACACTACAGACTAGCAGTCAGACAAGTATAAGTAAGTATAAGTTTATTACGTCAGCATAAGGCTCACGTGAGAAAAGACAGCAATAATGTTGTAAATTTTCAAACAAAAACAGCCATAATGACAACAATGACCTATTTGCTAGTCAGTCTCTGAAACTTTAGGATCCTTCATTTCGAAGTAGAACCATGAACGCCAAGCGTTTAATGTGGCTGCGAATAGGAGGACAGATATATTTTTCGCTAGCTTTTAATACTCACTGCCGGCTTTAAAGGGTGAAGCTCTTAGCATGCAAATTAGTTTTAAGACGTGTCAACGAAATCTTCATGACCTCTCCTCTAGTTTTGGAATACGTCAGCTTGAAGACACTGGATTTATAATTTAATAATTTAAGATGTAATGATTTTGTATCGTTAGTGAGGAATGAGGGACCCGGAAACATGTACATGACCCTAGATGAAATCAGCGGTTCCGCCACCCGGTCTGCAAAACCTGCGCCCCTCTCGAACTTTGAACCTGAATGATAGGATTCATAGCGGGAATCATTGCCTTGCACTCCATAACAATGTTATCGGAGATGTTGAAAACAGATACGGATGTTGTTGGGGAGCTTTGCTCCAGTATGGTGTTGATCAGCAACCTTGTCAATGGCAGCGTGGTACATTACCATTGAGCGTTGGAAATGCGAGCTGTGCTATGAGTTCTGCTCACAAGCACAGATATTGGCTTTACTTATTAGGGACATCCGGCCGTTGACGAGGATGAAGGGACTGGGACACCGCGAAGACCACGTTTGAAATGGTGAGCATTCCGACATAGTCTGTAAAACTTGCGCAACCTAGTTGAACCTTCGGTGCAACTCACATGAGCGATATCGTACTACTGAATAAAGACCACTCTGTTTCAACGTTGAAAGGGTTCTAGGAAGAAGGGGTTGCCTACGAAGCTTGCAAAGTGTTAAACATGCCCTTTTTATAGATTTCGTGGTCTTTCT